ACAATTGAAACTACCACTCGTTCGAATTAACTAGATCGTGATTCTCCGATTAGCATCGCATTCATCGTAGCTCGCATCAGAGAGATAGTGGAAATTCAGCTTATTCGACCGACGAAGCATATTAGTTGTCAAATTAATTATACATTGAATTTCCGTCAAAGTAATTATATGTTGAATTTCCGGTGGATCGCTTTTCTGCGAATACCATATAATCGTACGATGCTCTGTACATTAGAGAAATACACGCGTTCGTGGATCGCGAATTGAAAACTGTTCTTGAATTCCGTGTTATTTTTTACTGAATTCCTAGTTCGTTGCAAATCGCCCGTTTGCCCGCTTAATAATCCTGTCACGGAGAACATTTCTCGGAGCATTGGCCCTCGTTCCAGATCTCCGTCAAAAAGGCTGCCGCCGGCAGACAGAGTACAACTCTTAACAGGCATCGATCCCAAGACACCACGAGTCGTTGTCGTCGTCGTCGTCGTCGACGACGTTTCATGTCGTTGTGTTGCGAAACTTAGCCCTCGGTGACGTTCCTCTTGTTCGTAATTATATCTCTAATAAATATCGTGCAACGCACGATAGGCACGGTGATTTACGAGAGGTTGTCCCGTGCCAGTCCCATGAATAGCCCTCGCTTTGGGACACTTTTGTCACGCGCCCACACAAAAACGAGTCAATTACTACTGACAGTCGTGCCTGCGATTCAACAAAAGATCGAAAATGGAACGATGTCAATTTTCATCATGTTGTGTGCCCTTTTCTCTTTCTGTCTCTTTCTCTCTCTCTCTCTCTCTCTCTCTCTCTCTCTTTTTCTTTCTCTCTCTGTTACAGACGGAACAATTCACGGTATTGTGGCTGCTGTTCGCGATGATAGTCGTCGGGAATATCGCGGTGCTAATTGGCCTCCTGTGGGGGAAACGGCGTAAGACGCGGATGGATTTTTTTATCAAACAGCTAGCGTTTGCGGGTAAGTTTCGCCACATCTAAAAAACTTAAATCCTAAAACGAAAATTTCACAGTTTGCGAAGAAATGCGGGTGAAACACGCGGGAATAAGCTTCTGCGTACGCGAGAAGTGTGAATTCACTGCTGGCAAACCAATGATTTTGTCAGAGAAATCAATGAAGTAAACGACAGACTATCTTTTACTACTCGCGTCTTCTCGTCAGATCAAGCGGAGGACGAAGTACTCCGTAAAGAATGAAGAGCCGAAAGCGGTATTCGGAGGACGATTCGCGTGTAAAATGATCTCACATGTCAAGCGCCTGTTGTAGTAGAACAGTCCGGTGTATTTTTGTAACTTTGTCGTCGAGGTTTCCCGAAGTGTGACACGCGTGTCGAGACCGCGCTTCCTATTTTTCAAACGACTCGGCTGTAACTGTTGAGAAAGAACAGTCCCAAAGAACTGTTTCGAATACCCGAGAAGCGAATAAACATCGAGTCACGGCCATATAAAAATTTACACGCGTTTTCGACGCAAACTTCGAGTCCGTCTATGTACCTACCAGTAATGTTCCGAGTAATGAATCCTCTCGGGGCCCACGTTCGTTCTCTCGCGCGTGCTACGGTCTCGTTTCAATCGTCTCCTTTCCAAATCCTTTCTTTCCACTTTTTCCCTTCTTTCTGCGATATTATGTTGTCTCGCGACATTCACTCGAAACGCGTCTATTGCCTGCTGAAAAGCTCGGCACTCGGTGAGTAAAGGCGAAGACGAACACAAAACAGAAGATTGTAACTTCAAGGTGGCCCACGTCTGTTATTTCTCTCTCGATGCGTTTCACAACCACCACCGCATCGACTCGCTCTCCCTCTCTTTTTCGTCTCTCTTTTTCCGCTGCGGAGCAAAATGAAATACCACGCGCAAACGCTTGCTCAAATTACGTGTGTTTCGCTTTTTCATCGAACAAAGAATTCGCGTTCGGTATGTGGGGAACACAAATGAAACTTGGTGCAGTTCGTTTATTTCCGTATTTCGATATGGTGCCTTCATTCTAATTCGTTAACCATCGTGAGAAATTACGCTTTGAGAAAGCTGCGTTGAAAGCTTCCAACGATCGGAAACTCGCGCTAGAAATGAAAGTGAAATAAGTCAGTCGAATCGAGTGTGACTTATACGATCGAGATCATCGTTGCAAATCCATTATTAGATAATTCTGGGAGAGTGGACAGTTCGTTGATCGATGAAAAACTATTCGCGAAAGTTTGATGTAAGCGTAAGTCGTGCCGAGTATCGAGTTCAGGAAGAAAAAACATTCAATGGACCGAACAACTTAATTGGTTCAAGTAGTTGTCCAACAAGTTCGCAATGTTGCCGTTATTCCTCTTAAGGAACACTAGTTTCCGGCAAATTCAATTTGATCGCATCTTCGCGAGGAATTAGAAAGTTTTCCACTTTCAAAACAAATTTTCCTTCGACATATATATAATGCATAGTTATCCTCTATAACCAATTCAATGAATACTCGTTGGAATACATTTGATTTGACACTGTTTTCTTCGATGTTTCACTCTGGCTTACAAGATAGTTGTAACGTCAAACATTCAACTAACGTTTTCCTTCGTTTTATATTTCCACTTTGTTCTTTCTCTCTATCGATCCCTGTCGAGGTGCTTGCCCCTTCTATACATTACCATCGGCATAAAAAGCTATCAAAGGAAGCTGGCGATACGACCGGCGGTCGAACCGATCGGATTTTTTGTCTCGTTCGTCGCGAGTACTCTTCTATCGATTCTCGTGACGATTCTTAAAAAAAGAGATACATGCGAAAACAACACGGTGAAACATCAATGCCAATGACGTTCTATGCCGTGCAAACGTAAAAAACCACTTGCCCATTCGGCGACAATTGCCACGCTTTAATAAAAGCTATCGAACGATGCACAAAACGTACCTGTATATCGAGAAATAAAAGAACAGCTTCCGTTCTTTGTGCTTCACGGGCAAAGAGAAAGAGAAAGAGAGGAAAAGAAAAGGGAGTGAGGACACGAGAGCAGTAGAGTGAAATCGTTGGTATTTTACTCCTGTTATCGTTCCAGCGTGTGTTTCTTGTCGAACAATTTTATTGCGTCGAGAAAGGGTATATCTGTCGCTGAAAGCGACGATCTGGAGGGAAAAATAGGGATTGAAGACGCGAGCAAACACGACGATCGTGAAGAGTATACAGGAGGTTCCACATGAAGCTAACCACGTAATTTTCTCTTAAACTATTCGCTGCAGAGGAAAATGTTTCGAACTTACGTTGTTTCGAGCGGAACCATTTTATGGCGGTCACAAATTTTGCCTAGGTGGTCATGCTTCCGAGAGTTCAAGGTGACGTTTGTTTTTTCAAGTGGAACTGTATATTCTTGAGTTCACAGTCTTGTAATTGACGTCAAGTCGAATTCAGCGACCTGGGTTAACGTTGGTGTTCCAAGGTCGTTCATTTAACGCCGAGAAAATTACATGGTTAGCTTCATATGGGACACTCTGTGTAATAAATTTAGCTTTCTTTAGCAACTCGAAATGAAACTCGTTTGAGGTCGTACAAGTGTATCGAGGTAGTCGAGAAACAAGTCACCGAGAGATAACGCGACGGACAATGCCTTGCAAGCTCAACGATTTCGTCTTGCGCGTGAAATAAGAATTGAAAGAGGACCTCCGTCGGCTGAACGGTTTTGCATGCGAATGAACGCGACATTTGCATGCGAATGCGGTGGTAACGAAGAGACCGCAATTAAGCAGTTAACGCCGGCGGCTGGACAACAAAATCTGCGAAAGACCGTTTACGAGCGAGCAAACCGCGGGATTTGATCCGCCGTAAAGTAAAAGCGAGCACTCCGTGAAATTCGCTCCAATTCGGACGCGAATTTTCCCCTCTTGCCGCGTGGGCCAACGCAATAAATTGCAAACTGTTAAGCAGCTTATCGCATTCGAGACAATAAAGTGACGTTGTACGATAACAAACTGAAGGAAAGATCGCGAAACCAAAATCGTTTACGATTAAGTCGTTGTTGCCCTGGCAACGATCACGGTTGCATAATCCAGGTTAGTACAGGATGATAAATCCGAAGTGAATTTCAATCATCAGGGGGGGAAATGTACGATGCTGGGTCGCGATCGTTTCGTATGGGAATTCGCAGGATGAAGTCTCACTTTCGAGGGTCTTTTTTATGGCTGACCGAATGGCACTTCCAGGCCCGCAACACTCTATACGATATCCTTTAAACCACATCTTTACGACTTCTCTCTCGTCCCACGGAAAATCGCCGATCATTCGTAAAATATGTGTCCCCACATTCTCCAACTATCTAGAGTACATATAAAAATAAGCGTTGTACATTTAATACAGTTGGTCGAGAAATCGCAAGATAATATCGATTTGTACTTCTCGTGGAGGAAACCTATTGCATTCAACTGTTCGTACTAAAAATTGTTACTTACATACTAAAAATATTATTTCCGAAAGATGAGAAGCAGGTAAGAGCTTCGAATTATCAGTGTTCAATCCTTTCCGAATGAATATCCCATCCCGGATTTTATTTCGGCGAGTCTTTTATTTAGACTGCACATATTCAGACTGGATATTGCGATTATGATTGTTGTACCATGATACACATTATATTTGGATCGCGCAGCAAACAAATATTCGATAAAAAAAATAATAAAGTATTTTTGAATTATTTTTTAGAACGAACCTCAGAAGCGTTTATCTCTTTTTATTATTTTTTAATATACTATTGTATGAAAACATATTATTATGATATGTTATTAGTACAACAATACAATGCATTTTGAATATTATTATGTTATAATAGCAGATCCACACTGGTATTATTTCGAATTTGAGAAAGATAGTTTTAAAATAGATTTAAAATGATCCTCGTGTGTATAGGTGCTTGCGATTACGCTAAAATTTTGAGTAAACATTTTAAACGCATCGTTGTGGATAACGAGCACATGCGCATTTTCCAGCCAATTTGTGAAACATGTAATCATTCGTTCGTGTATGGATAATGTAAATGCCACGAGGATATGCTATAATAACTGCACAAACCATGAATCGTTTCTTCATGCTACGTATCTCATTGCAGATTTATTGGTGGGCTTGATATCCGTGTTAACGGATATAATTTGGAGAACGACGGTGACCTGGCATGCAGGCAATGTTGGATGCAAATTGATAAGATTCATGCAGGCCGTCGTTACATACAGTTCCACGTACGTACTTGTCGCGTTGTCCATCGACAGATACGATGCCATCACCAGACCAATGAATTTCAGTGGCAGGTGTAAGTATAGTGTAATTATAATTAGTTCTGCTTACTTAAGTTTCTTCCTTTTTTAATCTCACTTCCCCAAGCATTAACAATAACGTAACGTTTCGCTTGCAATTCTTTTCAATCGCTACGCATTATCAAATCCTAATTTAATATCGGTATCACGTATTTTAAAAACCATTGATTCGTAATGAGTTCACGTAATTACGCTCTCAAACTTTTAAATCCAACGTAAGGCAAATACGGTTTTATTGCGACTTCATATTGCAATTTCATTTGTCACCGAATTCAGTATCGTTTTATATCTGCAAGTAAAAAGACCAACAATATTTCCAACATGATAATACTTCACAATATTTTAATCGCTACTGCAGGAAAACGTTTCAACAAGATAAGCTTCGTCGTCTCATTTTCCAAACTAAATATCGCATTACCGTTTGTCATTATCGTTTTTTCTTCTCGACTCGTTTAAAATAGAGATATAAAAATATATTTTCAAAGATTCAACGCAATGCTAAAAGTCCCATTCCCCATTAGACATCTTTTGCGCGAGTATTTGAAGTTTATTGTTACTATCAACTTATTACTGGCTAAGAAATCGCTCGTGGGCTAACAAACACAACGATTTATATATATATATATAAAATTTATTCCATTGACTTATGATGAATAAGAAGCGTGATAACTGTCGAAAGATGAAAAAGAATGGCGAGATATAAAACGTAAACGGATATTGTAAGCACGACGTCGTCAATGACGAGACATTAACGAACTCGAGTGTCTCAAGTCTTCGAGGTTCTCTCGAGGTTAATTGGTTTTCTTACTTTTAATACTTCGATGCAAATTCTCTATTAAATCAAGACGATATTTCACGAAATTCCTTATAATCTCGTTATCACTGCGAACTTCTTGAAAACGTTTACAGTGGGAAATAACGGCGAGTTATTGCATTAGAGTGACCAAACGCTTCTCGAGAAAATTCCTTTATTGCGTCGTAACTCGCAGTTATGTTCTTTTTTTTCTGTTTTTTGTTTTCTTCTTTTCTTTTTCTCGGCCACTCAACAGCTGTCGCGGAAGTTTTCGCGAGACCGTGAAAACGAGAAAAGTTGGCGTAAACCAACACTCACGGTTTCACAAACCTGCATCCGTTCGTTTGCCTCGAGCAACGTTCGTATCACTCGAGTGCGACAGAAGAATTGCCATTGACTCATGTCACAAAAAATATCGTTGGATTTGCTTTCACTCATGTCACAAAAAATATCGTTGGATTTGCTTTCATCCAACATTTGAGCGTTCGTTCGTTCGATTACTATTTTTTGGAACATAGCCCTCTAAATTGTTTGACATCTTCAGAAAGTTTACTCTGCATTGTTATATTCTGCATTCGGAATTTTGAACTTCATCTTTCTCTAAACGAGTTTTTTTTTTTTTTTT